AACAGGATAATATAGATGGCTAAAATAGGAAAATAGTAGGCATTAGTAACTCATCTGCAGGGTCAATTTGAAGGTGTAACAGCATTAAAATAACAACTACTTGCGGATTCCAATGTGTATATGTTTATCGTCAGGATATATATGACGTCATCAAATATTTCACGACACTTTTACCAACTACCTCTATTTTTTTCTTACTTTTAACGCTTTGACTTTTATATTATATACGAGTAGTATTTTTTTTTACTTTTATACTATTTATATAGAGTGTTTTACTTTAATTAGTTTTGATAGTTTATGATTCTAATTAACGTAATTACAAGCATGAAATGAGAAGTATTACAAGTAATTTACATGGAGTACATAGTAAACCACATTTAATTGTACACTCATTAGGTAAAATGCTATTCACATTGATATTATTAAGTCTGATTACCACGAGTCATTTAGATTTCCTTACCTTTAATTTCGGAGTAAATTATGAGAATAGAGGATAGCTTTCCAGATGAACGAGTCGTTTAAATCGAGGACGAGGATCAAAGAATGATGTGCATGCAGCAAGACAATTGTAATTTTTGTCCTTCATTCTCTTGAAGTTGGTATATCAAACCCTAGAGGTTTTTTTAAGGTTGAGTACAAACATTATTGCTCATTTAGAGAGATCAGCTCGAGTTAATTAGGTCATTCATTGTTGAAGTACAATAATTAGAACCATTAAACAATTAAGACAATTATCAGTTTTCTTGTAAATAATTTAGTTTATGCATGTCACCTCAAAGTTGTGTGAGTTTTGTTCTAATAATAGTTAGTCTGATTTTTGAACAAAAAACAGGATTGATGAAGCTTTGACTTGAACCTATTGAATCACTCATAGTAAAGATTATTGTAGTTACAGTGCCCTCTTCCCCCTTTTTGATGCTTATTTGTTGGGGTCAGTTCTGTTATCTTAGCAAAGTGAACCTTGCATTTAATGAAAATGTTTGTCATTGGATTTTTCTACTGACTAATGTATTTACAAATTTGTTTCTACTTTGGAAATTGAGAAGGAAATAGTAAAAATCCCTATGTCCTCTGGACAGCTGTGTTGTTGTAGCTAATTACCCTACAAGTAAGAAAACAAGTGTATAATTTATAAATTTATTGGTTCACAATTTAATTACTAATACAAAAATATCCAATACAATTTAAAGGAGAAATACCAGCATTTTTTTTTTTTTTTTGATATAATCATATTTGTGATTAGTTCTTGTACACAACATTTATATTTAACTTGGATAAACAACATTTGGTTTAAAGACGGTGTGGGTTGTGTCTGGCCAAGCCTCATGCATGCCGAGTCAACATGTTTTGTAGTTATCTAGGCTCGACTCATGAGTTATGTGTCAGGTCAAGTCAGAATTTTCAAAAGGTCAACCTATGCACAGTCCAGACCCTCAGTACATGTCATGAGTCAACTAGATTGTTGATGTAATTGGTGATGAACTGTACACATATGTGTATGATACTTGAATAACTTAGGCCCTTTTCTTTTAAGCTGTTGTGGTCTGGTCTGCTCTATTCTGCTCAGAAACTCAAAAGAACATGACTTTAATGTAAATACTAGAGTTATTAATATCTAGAAATTAAAAATAAAATTGACCATGTTAATGTTGAGGTAAAACAGCATGACACATGACATTTTCTCTCTCTAAAAGATGAACAGTCCAAGAAGGGGATAAATAGTGATGAGATAACACAAGCAAGCAGGAAGACATTCCTTAGATGGAAATATACCTTCATCTTTTTAACTGGTTTAAATAGTAGTTTTTTTTTTTGGGGAACATGCATTTGCAGAGCTTGGTTTTCCATCATTCATCCACTTCTAAAGGAAACAAAGAAATAACCCTCAACAATTTTACTCAGTGATTGGACTTATCAATGGAACTTTAATTTTCATTTTTCAATATTATTACTCGTACACCCTAAAATATACTCCAAAATTTCTTTAAATTTATCTTAATAGAATTATAAAGGCAAGTGATAAGAATTAATCTCAGAATCGTCTGGGATAAGGAGGAAAGCTTTAACCACCAGAGTTATTCTTCCCTGTCAATAAATTTAGAATGTCAAACTTCTACTTGTATAATTTTTTATTTTGACAGGAAACTTCTATAATTTATAATTTTTTATACTAACATGATTTTTTTTTTTGAAACAGTACTAACATGAAATTAGATATATTAATAATTTAAATTATTATATGCATTGAAATATATGAACTTGACACAAATAAAATGGGAAATATTTAAAGGAACTGACAAATTCATACAACCTATAAAAGTTAGTGAGAAGTCGAGATACAATATGAACTCTCACTCCTCATTTTTTTTTTAAAAAAAGGTGAATAGAACGCATCTTTAAATATAATATATAACACTCGTACTCGTAATAGACTGAAGAGATTAATTAACTAGAAATTAAAATTGGGAAAGATAGAGCACAATAGAGGTAAAATAAATACTTCACCTATAAGTTGGTGGGTCAAGTTCAGGTGCCCAACTCTACAAAACTGAGAAGCAAAGAGACAGAGACAGAGAAAGAGATTGAAAGAGAGAGATAATGTATGATTGATTGAGATGGTGAGCCAAGAGAGAAATAAAGGGGTAGCCTATATTAACTAATGCTAGCAGAAATATGATGTCAATGACCTCTTTAGTTTTAATTTTTGTGGGCTTTTGATAAGAAAGCTCTCCAGAATTGTACACACCCCTTGCTTGCGCAAAACCGTCACATTCTTGTCATTTAAGAGAGAGACAACCCTATTTTTTTAACCCCTTTTTTGAGTTCTAACTTTAATGTACTACATATTGTTATTGGTGGTCTAGATCGATCTAGGTGTTGCTCACAATGAAATATTAAGTGCTACTGGTTCGCCAAGAGATATCAATTATCTGACTCAAGTCCCGAATATATCCACCATAAGCCATTGTAAACCTGCCTAATTTTGAATTGAACCGAACTCAATTTTCATCGGAGATGATAAACAATCTAACATTACACAAATTGAACATGACTCGATTCAAACTCAACTTGAAGGCTAGATTAACTTGACATGACTTAATCCAAATATGATCTAAAACTTTACATGACCCTTGGACCTAATATAAATACTCTAAGGCGGCGTTTGATTTGGGGTAATTAGGAAAGGGAAAGGGAATCAACAAAGATGATTACCTTAGTTGTTGTTTGTTATGTCAATTCAATCATTCCCTTTCCCCACTTAATTACCCCAAAATCCTCTACTCTCATTCCCTACCCCCCCCCCCAATGGTATTTGCATTCCCTTTCCCCTAAGTCACCAACACCACCACTACTCCACCTGCACTAAGACCCCACCATCATCGGAACCCTTCCTACCACTGCCCCATCAGCACCGCCGCTCTTCCGGTCTTCCCACCACCGTCCCGTCAGCACCGCCACCGCCCCACGACTCGAAATCAACCACTCTCCACCTTAAAAACACACCACCCACCAGAAATCAAACACAATACGAGCTTCGAGGGTGGTTAGGAAGGGCTTCGAGGGTGGTTGGGAAGGGTTTTGAGGGTGGCTGGGGAAGGGTTTCTAGGGTTTTTTCGAAGGTGGGGGAAGTTTTTCGGGGGAGGGGAAAGCTGTTGGGAGGAGAGGAAGTGCGACGAGGGGTGGGGCAGGTGCAGCGAGGGGCGGGGTGGCTGGAGAAGTGGGATTAGTGAAGAAAGAGGGGTTTGTGTAGTGGTGGTGGTGGCGGTGATGTGGTGTATATTATTTCCCTTTGATTTTTAAAACAAACAACACCCTAAACTTGAGGGATTTTCATTCATTTCTCTTTCATTCCCTTTGTTCATTCCATTCCGATTACCCCCTGCGAACCAAATGACCCCTAATTGATATCGCTAATGGCAATCAAACCTCGCATAACTCTCTCTTTTGCTAATTGTTTTTGAATAAACTAAATTTGTCCCGAGCTAAGTATAGTCTGATCATATTATTAAAAAATAAAAAAGTGAATTGCAAAAATAGCATGAGAAGTGTACTACTACTAATCCATTTCAGAATAATAATCCCCTAAAATTCCACACACACGTGTGTTACGTTTAGGACCGTTTTGCCTAACTTTTGAAGATTCATTAAAATGCAAACACAAAAATAGTCAGACCTAATCTAAACTAGATTTGCGAAGTGGGGCTTATTAGTTAACTACACACGTTCATTTCTTTCCTGTGGTTGGTCATCAATGCCTCCATTGGCAAATTTTTGGAAGGTTTGACTCACTTAACTTCCTCGACTTGTTTATTCTCACTACTACTTCTATTCTTCTTCTCTTTTTCTGTTATAAAGTAGCTCAACTTTGGTTAGTATTACCGTTTTGAATTTTTTATGACCTTGTTAATTTTAAAAAAACCTTTTTATTTTATTTTTTTATTTTACTTTATTAGGTTCCTTACCAAGTAATCCAAAACGTATCAGATTCCAACTAGTTCATAATGTAACTCAAAATAATACGGAGTAATGCACTTTTAAGGCTACGACCCAATCTATTCAGTTAACAAACCCATAAACTCTTTTTACATGGTCCCTTACTATGTAGTTTAAAATCAATCTGATTGTAACTAATAATTCATATTTAAAACAATTTCAGTCTATAAATGATTAGCATTACATTCTTAAGTGTATGCGATTAAGTTAGAACAACCTCTTACTAATTGAGTTGAAAGTGGGGTTCTTAAATCGACGTTGTCTGTCAAATACTAGTAATCCTACAATGATAGAGTATAAAACACATTACTGAATTTCAACCATTAAATTAAACTTTTGGTTAAAATGGTCCGTTAATATACAACTTAACAAAAAAACACAAGACAAAAAAGGACTCCTTATTTAAAATTTTGTTTTGTTTTGGTTGGGAGTTACATCAAAAGGTCATCAGTCAGCAGGGTGTTTAACAACTTGGAACCAGTGGTATTTATTTTACTCAACAATATCAATAGAGATAGCAATAGAGAGATATCAATAGAGATAGAGAGAGAAAGGCTGGGTTACTTGTAGGTTTACAAACACTTTTCCCATTTTTCAATTCTTCTCACATTATTATTCATAACTTCTCTTAAATTAAATCCCCCCTTTAATTTTTCCTACCCCCTTATATTTCGCTTTGCCCAAAACTTGTCACCAATCATTCCTTTCATTTCTTTCTGAATCCTGATTTTTCAAATCTCTTTCTCTCTCTAGAAAATTTTGCAACAAATTCAAGAAATTTTTACAATTTCTTTGTTAACAGTTTTTTTTTTCTACAAAATTTGGTTGTCAGAAGAACAAATGTAGGCATGGCCAACAAGTGTAGTAGTTGCTACTATTAACCAAAACCACACTCCAATTCCTTCATCAACAACTATTAGTAATCCTCAACACCTTTATAAAAAATAAAAAAAATACTTCCTCCGTTTCAGATTAGTTTACTCAGTTTGTAAATGGGTATGAGCGCTTTTCCAGATTTAACTTCGCTCTCGCTTAGGAAACCCAACGCATTCGGGGGAATGCCGGCTGCTTCTGAACAGCCGACCACCTCGAAGAGCAGGGGTTTCCCCTTTCTGGGAAGTTTTATGATCCCAAGATCAGACCACACTCAAATTAATGAAGGGCAAGAAGTAATTGAGGGTAAAGTGTGTGATTTTGGAGATGGGTTTGTTGAAAAACATGGTATTTCTAGCATGGATCTCAATGCAAATTGTAATAAAGAAAAAAACTTTTATGAAAATAATAACTTTAATAATGAAACTAGTAGTATTAATAATAATAATAATAATAATAATAATAATAATAATAAAGTGGGTTGTTCTAAAGAAAGTAGTAAGGTTTGTGCAAGAGGACATTGGAGACCTGCTGAAGATAGTAAGCTCAAGGAACTTGTTGCTATCTATGGCCCTCAAAATTGGAACCTCATTGCTGAAAAATTAGAAGGAAGATCAGGTAATTTTTTTTATTTTTATTTTTTAACCCCTTTCTATATTTTCCTTCTATTTCTACTTTGTGATAATAAAAAAATTTACATGAAACCATTTACGAAATAATTTGTTGGAAATATTGTGACATCATGGCTAGTAAGTAGTCATGATTTTATTATATGTTCATCATATAGTACATTTTGATATCATAAAATCAAATTAAAGTGTTTTTATTTTTATAATTTTTATTAAGTATTTTGGGTGGGTAAAAATGAATTGTTGCAGGTAAAAGTTGCAGGTTAAGGTGGTTCAACCAATTAGACCCAAGAATAAACAGAAGAGCATTTACAGAAGAAGAGGAGGAAAGATTAATGCAAGCACATAGAGTGTACGGTAACAAATGGGCAATGATAGCAAGACTTTTTCCAGGAAGAACTGATAATGCTGTTAAAAATCATTGGCATGTTATTATGGCTCGAAAGTATAGGGAACAATCTAGTGCTTATCGAAGGAGGAGAAATCTTATTGTTCATCAACAACCGCCGTCATCGTCGTCGAGTTTTCCTAACAATTATCATCTTAATGCGATGAGGTCGTCTTCGTCGTCGTCTTCTATGGAGGAAGATGAACAAATGCCTAGTGGTTATAATGGTGTTTATGGTGGAGTTAATATGATTAATAATAATCAATGTTCTTCTTTTACAAGTAATGGTAATGGGTTTTGTGGGCAGCAGCAGTCTCCTTTGGATTTCTTCTCAGGTTAGTTTTTCTTGATTTTGTTTATACCATCTCCGTTTCTTATTAGTTGTAACAAAAAATGAATATTTAACTGTTAGGTTTTTATTTCTATGATTTTAGAGCTATTCTCTCTAGGTTGATTTTGTTCAATTATATGTGTGTGTTGTTTTTTAAGGAAATATTGTCCTCCTTGCTGTTATATCTATTTCATGAATTAATAACCTTGTTTGAAAATTAGGAATTATATGTGTGTTATTTTTTAAGGAAATATTGTACTCCTTGTTGTTATATCTAATTCATGAATTAATAACCTTGTTTGAAAATTAGGAATTATTGTACGTATCAAAATGTGAAATTAATCTAGATTTATGAGTAAAACAGTATAACGGTTTTCCCCATACATAGAATGATAGAATAAAAATAATTCGCTTTGCAAAAGAAAAGCTTAATTAGTTACGAGTTATGGATTATTCCATAAGTTAATGTTTTTATCAAGTTAAATGACAAAAACATAAGAGTCAATTAGAGAAACAAAATTGTTAACATTGTGAGATCAAATAAACCCAAAATTGCGAGAGGAAAATAAGTTAAGATAATGTTATTATCGTTTTAATTACGAGTTAGGTAAACAACAGTTAATATATAGCTAGCATAACTCTTTTAACCCCTACCATATGTGCATACATTCTTTTACTTGGTCTATGCTAAGTTCTCGAGGAGATAGAATAAAAGCATAAGATACACCAAATCTTAAAAACTAACAAACATATATACTATATATTTGCTGATCTCATACCACATTTATTCCTTTGTTATTTTTTCAAATATTGTTATGTTTTAATTTTTTTAAATATATGATTTTATATATGTGTTGATTTGTGCATAACATTTTGAGCAGGTCCAAATAATAATAACCAAAACATGGTGAGCATGTTCAGTCAAAGCAGCTGTTTGGATAGGCCAATACAAATGCAAATACAACAACAGCAGTCTTACTATTGTTACTACCACAACAACAATAATAATTCTCCTCTAATTTCACTTCCCCAAACAGACCCTTATTCTCTCTCCTCACAATCTTCAATTGGAGCAGCTGGAGGCAGATCAGATGATAATCCTACTTCTTCTTCACCATCTTTCATAGATTTCCTTGGTGTTGGTGCTACTTAATTAATTAATTAAATAAATTATTAGAATTTTAATTTTGTTTCATTTTTTTAATCTTAACTTTTAATTTAATTATTATTGTTCCTAAGAAAAATGGAAGCAAAAATTGTAAAAATTAGATAGTGTTAACTAAGGGATTGGATATGCTATGGTCGTCAAGTCTATCTATTCAAAAACTTCTGATAAAATTGGAACGGTATAGAAAGAATATGATGGATCGATTATGTGGTGTGGTGTGTTTTTTAGATTAACTTAGAAATTACCATTAATGGTAAAAAAAAGTGGGAGAGTTTTCCTTGTATCAGTTAAAAAAAAATGACACTTTAATCATATCATATATCATCATGACATTATTTATAAGTTTAATTTTATTATATGGGTGAGGCCACTTGTGCTAGCTTGAAGAGTTGAAGTTATATTGGAAAAAGAAAACCATCGTTGTCGATGTTTTCTTGCAATACGTTGTGGATGGATAGAAGGTCTTAAACTTGCAGGAGAACCAACGGTCCAAATATGGTTTTCTGTTAAGTTATAATCATCATCTTGTGTTGGAAAAGTAACAACTGATCTCAGATGTGATAGCTTTATTTATTAGGATTATGTGTTTATTTTTATATAAAGTCACGACCTGTTATCTTCGGTTTAATTACAGTTTAGTTCAGTTCAATTCCTAATTTCCTTCTCTCATAAATAATTCAGTTCAACTCAGTAAATCAGAACAGGTTCTTAGTTTTTTTTTTTTTTTTTTTCGATAATGCCCATAACCCACATATATTTAAAATCAAGGGACATTTCTCTTAAAGGTTGTACAACTTGTATTAAAAAAAAATATATCAACCCTGTAAATAACATGACACAATGACACTTAATTTGTGAGGAATAGACTAAATAAGTGTATATAGATAGATAATCACCATACAATAGGGTTGGTGAAAATGTAAATTAAGTATGTTAATCCCCGTAATTAAGATCACTTAAGAAACACCTTTTGTTAAGAAAAACTAGCTTTTATTTATACTGTTAAAAAGATTATTTAAGCAAGATTGCAATTGTATTAAAAATTTAGGATCGATCAAAGTCTTTTTAATTTTTGCTTTTTTGTTGATTATCTAATAAAGTAGCATACATCTAGCTCCAATTATTATTATTAGGCTCATAAATTTTTTCTTTGTGATTTCCATTAATATATGGGTCAAAATCCTAAAATTTGATTTGTGTTTTAGTTGATTATGATTGCAAGTCGTATAAACTACATTATCAGATTTATGGTTAACATTTATGAGAATAATAAAAATAAGCCTCCATTCATATCAAGATTATATTGACAATTATACTTTTAAAACACCTTTTCTCTCTATCAAGTCCCGGGGTGCACCTATGTATGCATTAAGAAGTTACATAATTTCAACACCACATCTGAAGTGTTTGTAAAATTATAAATGAGAGGTTATGGGTTAACCTACTAGCTAGACAATGCAAACATATATTTAATATTTTTGATGTGATCATAATACTGAAGTTACATCATTTAGCCGAGGATGTTCATGTCAACGTTAGATAGGGAGTAGCGTGTGGTGTATACTTATCTTTGCCTACATTAATTGTAAGGGGTGACACGTGGTGTGATAACTTATCTTTGCCTCGGGCTTTAGAGAGTATAAATTTTTATTATCATCTTATATATACAATCTCTAGAGTGGCCGTAAATTCGTATTTACATGGTGGTGAAAACCATGAAACATGATTATTGATGAGGTGATAATAAGATAAGGAATGAAGAAAACACAAAGCTTTGAAAAATTAGAAGGTAGCTAGAGGGTGTGGGGAAGAATTTAGTTTGTGTCTAGCTTTTGTCTTAAACAAAGAGGTAGGGAAAATGCAGCAGTTGCGAAGCAATATGATGGTAACGGTTCAACATCCTTAACCTTGAGCAGAATCTTTAAGGATTTATTCATGCCACCCACATGTATAGGAGGTAACTTATCAAATTTTGGGTTTTTGATGATGTTAGAACTTGGAATAAAATAAGATTAGGCCCTGTTCTTTTGATATGTTCTACTCTGCTCTAGTTTGCTCTGTCCACAAGCTCAAAAGAACAGGGCCTTAGTCTTACTCACTTACTATACTGTTTTCTTATATCGACTCATCTTTTACTATATATCTCCATGGATATTTACCTTCTACTTATATTCCCTCATTTGTTTCCCCAAACTTTCTCAGAAAACAAAATTTAATCACTGAAATGAACTTTCGAAAACAGATAGAGGCAGTACTTTCTCCATTTACTTTTACTTGTGATAGTTTGACCAAAAAACTCACACAGTCAATTTGTAGCAACTAAAAGCGAATGAAGGATGTATATGGTATGAAAACAAGGTAGCTACTCCAATCCGTAATTATAAGAGTGGGGGAGAGTATGTATCTTCCTATATGAACAAAGGGGGAAAAACCAACACACAAATGTTAGTACTAATTTGACTCAATGGTCCAAAATTGGTCCCATTAGAGTTGAATGGTTGGTTTCAATAGCTCATAAATAGGACCAGTATAAATATTCGCCAACATCTATTTATGTAAGTTTTAAAAAGGGGAACATTGATTATGTAACTATCCATTTCACAGCTCAGAAACCAATACTTGGTGTTATTAATATTTCATTTTCATCTGGAGTACACACTCACTGCATTTGTGCCATGTAATATATAACAATTATTTTTGAGTTTTTTCATCAAAGTTGTCCTTTTTATTTATTTATATATACATAGTAAATAAATATAAAGAGTTAATTTTAGTCATGTGATATATGGGCCAATGAAAGCAGCAAACTGTTAGAGGCAAAATTATATGCTTGCCAGTTTATAATCAATTTTTATTTCTTTTTAGTACTCTTTTTTCATATTTTTTGCAGTTTGAATTTAATTATCTAAGACAATATTGGTAGCCCATTATTATTATAAATGAATTGGGCCAACCAAGGAGCCAAACATAAACTGCCAAAGTTTTATTTCATCCAACTTGTGATATTGCAACATCATACTATTGTGGTGAAATATCTATCATATGAAATGTTTTTTTTTCTTTATCATGCATTGTTTTTATAGCACTAAATTTCAGGTTGTGCTACGGTACTGGCTAGAGAATTTATTGAGTTTCAATGGCATACACACGTTTGTCTTGCAGAATTGTTGATGATAATTGACCCAAAAGAAGAAGTATAATTTTTGACCTATTGCATCTAGATATGGTTATTTGTTGGGACCGTTTAGAGCCATAATAATCAAATGACAGATATTTGAAATTCATCTGTTGGCACCAATGGTACGTGCAATTGTATGTATTGCACCCTCCACGCATTGATTGACATAGCCGACTTTGGTATATGAGTCAAGATCGACTTTGGTTAGCCCATGGCCATCCCGGCATTGGCATGAGGCCATGAGCTCCAATTTTCATCAGCTAATTAAGCAACAACTAGTGTAGGACAATAAGGACATAGTATGAAATTAAGGTTTAACGTTACTCTAGCTAGTGAATAAAATTAATATATGTACTACATACACAGGGGTATTATACTAGTGTGCTGTGTATGATTGAATAATTTGTTGAGAAGTTATAGGCCGGACGTACAGGAAACAAAATATATTAAAGTGGCAAACAACTTTTATAAAGAATCCCAGAAATATTCAGTGTCATTATTACATTGATTTGATTTATTTCTAGCTCGTTTAATTTTATTATTATGTTGTGGGCTTGGTATAAGAAATCGATGATCATTATAGAAATCCACAAATCTCAAATAATTACTTGGTACTTGACATACAAAGTAGTTATGGAAAATGAAAAACTTATCATGAATAATATCATAGAATTATATGAAATCTTTAATTCTCCCCCTTTTTTTTTTGTTTGACAAAGGTTTGTTATACTATGAACAATATATACTAGGTATAATTGTCTAACTTTAGGTTAATTTGTTTAAACTTTTGGTCTTTCTATGATTTGAAGGAAAAACTTAGGAAAACTATATAATCATGCATTTCATGCTCTTGTATATATAGAAGAATAATTATGTACAATTACCAATATATGGACATTAAAAAATAAAAGATTTATCAACTACTTAACTTCAATTTCTAGTGTATGTTTCGATTACCAAATGCATGCGAGGATTAGATCAGATCGAGATTACTCATGTTCGAATTCATATATACGTACTACATACCTAGATTCTAGAATGAAGTGGTTAGAAAAAAGTTTATTAAGATACGTTTATCTTGTCTGATTTTCATTTATTTCAAATTCAAATCAAAAAAAAAAAAAAAAAAAGGTACGTTATAAAGTCTAATAAGTTAAGTGCATGGCGACCCAATGTTACTAATTAATAGACAATATTTTGGATGACATTTTATTTGTTAGTCCTTCCTTTGAATTTGTTGATTGGTTTCAAGTGAAATTGGAAGAGAATTTTTTAGCTCATCATTTAACTAGAATAGTACATATCTTTTGGGGTTGAGCAAGCTAAGTATGTATTTTCCATTGTCCAAATCAAGTATCTTCGTATGTAGAGGTGTCCATCGTGCGAGTCGTGCGAGCTGGGTTAGGGTTAGGTGGGTCGCGGGTTGGGGTTTCATGACACACGACACGACACACGTAGGGTAGGGTGGGCCAGGTCGTGGGTTGGGTCGGAGAAGTTGGACACACCAGGGTTAGGTTCGTGGGTTAGACGAGTCGTGGGTGGGTCGAGCTGGTTCGTGGGTTAGACGGGTCGTGGGTGGGTCGAGCTGGGTTCGTGGGTTAGACGGGTCAAGGTGGGTTAGTGAGTTAGGGTGGGTCGAAGGGTGGGTTAGTGGGTTAGGGTCGGGTGGGTTCGTGGGTTAGTGATAGGCCATCGTCGAGCCTACCAAAGATAATAATTCCTATCTTGGTCTCACTAACAATAGTAAGGGTAAGAAAGGGTCGAACCCAAGAGAGGCGTTGAATCAACCACCGAGTACTACCGTTTAAATAAGCTAAACGAATTCTAAATTGGGTTGGTTTTTAGTAACTTCTTCTAACACAATTCAACTAAGCTAAGAGGAGGTTAACAATATTAAGAGGAATCTAGGGCTTGGGTTATACCACTCAACTTCATCACAAATCACAATTAGCATGCAACAATCAAGGTAAATTAATGGGAAAAATTAGGGGAAGTCATCTAAAGCACCCAACTACTCTCTCAAGCTAGAGGGATTACTTGAATCATGAATACGACCTACTCTCGTGGTTACATAGCATAAAACAAGTGTTAAAGCATAATCACGATGACATAAACATTCCCTTGACCGGTAATCCCTATTCTCATGGCATTTCGGGTCAATCAAGCATAAGGGAGCTAACTCAAGTTCATCTCTCGATCCTTCGTTGAGAAAGCTTGGATAAATAGTTCTAGCAATGGCCATATACAAGAACTAAGCAATTAAACCACTTAAGCTCAACTAATTAACATCCCACAACAACCAAATTAGCACATGCAACAAGTAATTAGTGACTACATTGAGGGTTTTGCCCAAACCCTAGAATTTAGACTACTCACAATCCATGGGGGCTAAAGCAATTAAAGATTTCAAGCAATTCATGAACAAATTCAAACTAAGGATTAAGCTAATTAACAATCCAAAACATGCAAGAACTAGCAAATAATTAACAACAAAGTAAAGAGAAGTAGAAAAGATGAGTAAGAAATGGTTACTATGAAGCTTCAAGGTGAGCAACAATGGTGGATTTTGTCTTCTACAATGATTGAATTTGAATAATTCCAAGCTAATAATTGAGAACTAACTAATGATTTGAGAATTTAATGTTCTAAGACTACAAACTAAGAGAAAAGCTCTGAAAAACTGCCTCTCCCCGTACAAATGAGCTCTAAAGGGGGATTTATATGACCCCCAAATAAAAAGGACGGAGAAAACAAGGAAGGAGTTCGACTGCAGGTCTGCACGGACGTGCCAGAT